AATAGACTGAGATTTAAACGATTTAAATTTTTCAAAAAATTTAAATTGAATTCAAACGTTAAAACAAGGACTATATCTGTATTTTGAAAGATGGAGAACATCATACAATGTGTTTTAAAATCTCTCAAAGGTCAAATAGGGTGAAATTTAAACGATTTAAATTTTTCAAAAAAATTAAATTACTTCCACAAACATAAAAAACGCAACAAATGATGTTCTCTTCAATCAAAATATGTAAGTTGACTTTTGTTTAATATTTCAGTGCAATTTAAATTTTTTGAAAAAATTAAATCGTTTAAATCTCACTCTAATTGACCTTTGAGAGGTTTCAAAACACATTTTATGATGTTCTCCATCTTTCAAAATACAGAGATAGTCTTTGTTTTTATATTTGAAATCAATTTAATTTTTTTGAAAAATTTTAATCGTTTAAATTTCACTCTATTTAACCTATGAAAGATTTCAAAACACATTGTATGATGTTTTCCATCTCCCAAAATACAGAGATAGTCCTTGTTTTAACATTTGGATTTAATTTAAACTTTTTGAAAAATTTAAATCGTTTAAATCTCACTCTATTTGACCTTTGAGTGATTTCAAAACACATTGTATGATGTTCTCCATCTTTCAAAATACAGAGATAGTCCTTGTTTTCACAATTGGATTCAATTTAAATTTTTTGAAATATTTGAATCCTTTAAATGTCACTCTCCTTGACCTTTGAGTGATTTCAAAACACAGTGTATGATGTTCTCTGTCTTTCAAAATACAGAGATAGTCCTTGTTTTAATATTTGGAAGCAATTTAAATTTTTGGAAAAATTTAAATCCTTTAAATTTCACTCTATTTGACCTTTGAGTGATTCCAAAATACATTGTATGATGTTCTCCATTTTAAAAATACAGAGATAGTCCTTGTTTTTACATTTGGAAACAAATTGATTTTTTTGAAAATTTTAAATCGTTTGAATCTCACTCTATTTGAACTTTGAAAGATTTCAAAACACATTGTATGATATTCTCCATCTTTCAAAATACAAAGATAGTCCTTATTTTAACATTTAAAAGCAATTTAAATTTTTAGAAAAATTTAAATCCTTTAAATCTCACTCTATTTGACCTTTAAGTGATTTCAAAACACATTGTATGATGTTTTCCATTTTTCAAAATACAGAGATAGTCCTTGTTTTAACATTTGGATTTAATTTAATTTTTTTGAAAAATTTAAATCGTTTAAATCTCACACTATTTAACCTTTGAAAGATTTCAAAACACATTATATGATGTTCTCCATCTTCCAAAATACAGAGATAGTCCTTGTTTTAACATTTGGATTTAATTTAAATTTTTTGAAAAATTTAAATCGTTTAAATCTCACTCTATTTAACCTTTGAGTGATTTCAAAACACATTGTATGATGTTCTCCATTTTTCAAAATACAGAGATAGTCCTTGTTTTAATGGTTGGTTTCAATTTAAATTTTTTGAAAAATTTAAATCGTTTAAATTTCACTCTATTTGACCTTTGAGAGATTTCAAAACAAATTGTATGATGTTCTCCATCTTCCAAAATACAGAGATAGTCCTTTTATTAACATTTGGATTTAATTTAATTTTTTTGAAAAATTTAAATCGTTTAAATCTCACTCTATTTAACCTTTGAAAGATTTCAAAACACATTATATGATGTTCTCCATCTTCCAAAATACATAGATAGTCCTTGTTTTAACATTTGGATTTAATTTAAACTTTTTGAAAAATTTAAATCGTTTAAATTTCACTCTATTTAACCTTTGAGTGATTTCAAAACACATTGTATGATGTTCTCCGTCTTTCAAAATACAGAAATAGTCCTTGTTTCAATCAAAATGACACCTCATCGAAATCGGACGGAAGACCCACTCGTTGCTCGCAACGAGATCGGATCTAGTTGTATTTGTTATTGTTGATACAAGATGGCGATAATCGCGCAAAAAAATGTTAGTGCATACATGTATAAGGAGTACCGTTTATGAACACTATATTTGTCCTCAAATGCCATGTTTCTTCAGTAACATCATTTTCACGATATAAAATTCAACTATGTAAAGATATACATGTATATTGATATCAATAGTAAAGTAGTTAATAATCTGTTTCGTGATCCAATCGTTATCAAATAGACAGAACGGTATTTTCTTTCTCATCTTGTATAACAGCAAGATTCCTTCACAGATGTCTAGTGTATGGTACATCCTCTGAATTGGAAATCTATGTATTCCGTTCAAAACATAAGAATGCATTATGCCCTAACAACGGCATTCCTGTTCTGGAATGAAAAAGCTGACTTTATGTCTTATGTATTCCGCGTGTATCTTTGAACACGCCATGCACCAAAATTTAACAGGTTTCTCAAGAACATGTCGCAACTACCACTTCTAATTCTCTTAATTCTATCTCTTTCAAGGTTTAAGAATGATTTCCTTCGACTTAAGGTGATGACATGTGTGATATATGAATGACAAATATGATAAGAAACGTGTGAGAAAGATTAACGACCTGTTGATTGTAGGGGAATAAACATATGCTGAATCATTACAAATTCCTTCTCTATTCTTGGGATTATGAAGACTTTAAACCAGTTCTTTAAAGGTATCTGCTATTTATTACAACATTTGTTAATTTTAAGTGATAATGAAAAATACATAAATTGACCTTATTAATTATAACAAATGAGTCCTCTTTCATTTGATTTTCAGTCTTCCTTATTAAAATTTGCCTTCAATGGCATTCTACAGGTAAAACATTCTATCATCCTATTATTTCTGAAAAGTGCACAATAAATTATATAAATTAAACAAAAATTCTTAATGAGAATTTCTTATTGATGATAATTATCCCGAGTCACCAAAAAGCTAGTAAAAGAAACTTTGCTTGTTTTTTATAAAGTACTTAAGTTCGCTAATATACAATTAACACCATAAAACATCACATTAGATTATTTCATCTCTTCGCCTTTTGCATTATCATATTAAACTTTTATTTAGTGATTGAGTACATGATATAGTCAATATATCTATGTATGTTATATATACAAGCCTACTCTGGAAACATTTTGCTTTCATATAGCAGATTTAATTTGGAGTATATAAATGTAAAATGTTAAGATAAGGAACAGTGGTCAACCTAAGTAAACAAGGGCAAAACCATAATTATTGACCCCTGCAAACATCATAGGTAGGATCAAGTACCAAGAAGAAGTAAGCATCCCTTGATCTATCCTCTTCCTTATCTTTGGCAAATAAAGCCTCCTAGAAACATGGCATGTGCTTGTATGATAAGCGCGTTTAACATATTTAAAAAATGTGTACATATAATAGTACGAGCTTGTACAATGTACTCTTAACCAATGAGAAGAAAATGTCAATCCAACGATTTTAAAATATTCACAAATATTCATGCTTATTAACTTTTCTCTGTGCTTACATGGCTGTTTATAATTTGAAAAATAATTTTATATTGTAGAATCCTTACACTGTTTGTCCTGTACTGATACCGTATCCCCTCTCCACTGTCATCTCATCAGAAAATGTCCTGCCGGAGATGTAAGAATTTGAGATGATTTTACAAAACGAGATGTGATACAAAACGACTTTTAAAAAAAACTAGTAGAAGAAATTGGAGGACAATCAGTCACAAGGCTCTGGAATGTGACTTTTTTCATTCTAGCAAAGTTAAATGTTTATAAATGAAACCCTTATTTAGGTCACCAAATGAAAGTTAAACATATTAAGAATTTTAATATATAGGATAATTATGTATATTGATGATGGACGTCAACTTGATACCACTTCACAGATACTTTCAGATGTCTATGTATGCTCTATTCAAAACTAGCATTGCAGAATCTAATATGCACTCTCGATCCTAATAACTGTTGTTTTCACATTTAATAAAAACAAATTACAGTCAGTTTCTAGCAAATTTCAAATGAGCTAAAGTTCATTGAAATTCATTCCTTTTATAGCTAAACTAACCGGCAAACAAAGGTCGTCGTTCAAAGGAAAAATAATAAATAGTAAGAGTAGAGCCGGGTCATTAGACATCTTACAATACTACTTGACAAAAAAGGCAAGCTTAGTTGAAAGTTGTACGGGAATTTATATAATACCTTCAATAGTTTTATTTTCAATACCAGTAAGGCCGTAATCTATCACACTAATCTAGGCACATGTGTATCTATTGTAGTTCTGAATGAAGTTTGGTCACAACATAACTTCGGAGGTTGTGGTAGGGGGCCACAATTAAAGGCCAAATGTTAAACAGTTATGTTTAAGAAATAATTAAGCATCTACAACAATCCCCACTAAGTCATGTAAATTAAAAAAGATTTCCCAGATAGTTGTCAGATATCATAGTGGTTTAGGAAATGACTTGGCTACGATCGGAGGAAAAACGTTTCACATGATAATACATGTATATGGAAAACCACTTTACATAATACATTTTTTAAAACAAGATACTATGGGTTAGCGTAAGTTCGCATTATTGTAATAAATAAACAATATAAAATATGTTTGAAAAATCATCCCCAATAAAAGTACTAATATTTTTTCCAGTGAAGAGTCAATTTTTTTAAAATTATATCCCTTTGGATAGGATGGGCAACAGTGAAGGAAGGATAAGGATTTTTAAAAAAGGAATAAAAGAATTTTCAACTCAAAATAAGCCGGGCCATAATAAGTATAGAGTACTAGTGTTGATGCAATTTATTTTAAATCTTGACCTACATACATGTATATGCAGCATAGTCAAAAGTCATAGTCAAGTGCTAATCGGAAATTTAAATTTCAGATAGTATTTGACTCACAAAAAGCGGTTTCCTTGTCCCATAATTATTTATTAGGAAGAAAAAAGTTATTAAAAATAACATTGTACATCAAAAACATATTTTCGTGTATACTCTAAAAAGGTATGCTTCGTGGAACAATTTACGACCATTAATGGTGAGGAACTCTACAACATGGGATGCTACACAGAAAGAGTAAGGATTTTGTTTTAATAATGATAAATACCCACTATTCAGAACTGATTCTAAGTTTCTACATCGACTTATATTTCTCATTATTAGAGATATTACTTTTTATAAAGTTTCAAAAAATACTATCATTTGATTATAATTTGATTTGGGTTTTGTATATTATGCAAATAATATGATTTAATATCAGCTCTTAAGTAAATTGCTTAATACACCTGAAGTTTAAGCAATTTCTTTAAGATTGCCATAGTTTTTGATTTGCAACCTGCATGTCTACATGTACAATGCAGGTTACATGTACATGCACGTTATAATCAAATACAAAATGATTTTTTTAAAGAATATATCTTAAGAATATATCTGACACTGATAATATTATACTAATTTTTAGTGTGATTTTACCTTATTGATTATCCAGATATGTCATGGCCGTCAGGCTGCAGCTAGAAGACGCCAACTGTCCCAATTGACCGGAAGTGACAATCCACAGTGCGTACACTGCTGCAAATCTGACGCTTGTAATTCTCAAGGATGTGCTTCTATCGGTAAAATATAAGATATCCTTTAACCAAAACGGGTTTTCCCGTTCTTTCCTCAAGCTTTTGATTATAATATTTTACATTTACTGGAATATACATACACAATTTTATTACATTTTCAACAGTGAAATACTGTGATTTATTTATTGAATAAAAGTGATATTCTCTCACAGTGTGAAAGGATACCAAAATGATATTCTCTCACAGTGTGAAAGGAAAGTAAGTAAAAAATAATTTCTGGCCTGACATAAGATAGAGATAATAACGAAACATTTTGATAGAGCTAAAACTGCAAATTTCTTCTCAAATATGTTGCTAAAATCCATGCTATGTAATGTTTTCAATCTCACAACTGCTAAGCTATGACGTCTCAACAGCTCAACTATGACGTCAAGCCTAGCTATGACACTGTGTTAAGAAAAGACAGAGGCAAAGGGAAAATCAAAGAAAATGTAATAAACAGAAAATTCAATGTTTTGTAGATGAATATGGAATTTATTCCATTCGTGAGACAAGATTTTTTATATTTTCACTCGTGCTTCGCACTCGTGAAAATATCAAAAAATCCTGTCCCACTCGTGAAATAAATTCCATATTCATCTACAAAACATTGAATATCCTCTATGTATCATACCAAATAAAATTTTAAGAGCATATATTATGTAAAACGTTCGATTTTTTTAAATAAAAACTGATTCCTCTTCAAAACAATGGCATCTGATTAAAATCCCTATAAGACTTATCATATGCAAACTGAAGAAGGAATGATTCACAATTTGAAAAAGCAATGAAAAGCCAAAAGATTAAAATTTATTTCTATTGCATTTTTTTTTTACTTCAAGGATTTCCTATTCAACGTGGACCTTTGTGTTTTAACTGCAAACAAAGCACCAACCCAGAACTTTGTCGCTACGTCAAGGTTTGCGAGGCTGACCAGGTATCTAACTATGAAATTATTTTATTTTCCCCTAGAGACAAGGCAATCACTCCTCGTCCAAACTCTCCCATCCTCTAACAAAATCATAATAGTTTAGCGGACGTCATGGAATGTGTCTGCAGATGTTGTTCATAACCTCATGTTAAACTCTGAACTTGTAACGAATTTTAATACACAGCTAATACGCTTTTTTCGACAAGAAAGACTAATTTTGTCCAAAACATCCATTTTTAATGAACAGTGCCTCTCGATAAATGGATCTTTTTCTTAAGAAATTATTTTTATGAATATATATTGTATAAAGGTTTGTCATCTACACGAAGAGGAGGAGTTTGGAGACAAGTTCTATGTTTCGTCATGTTTACTGCAGAATGTAAGTTGAAATATACACTTAAATATATTGAAAACCGCTCAGCTAGTTGTATTTTAACAATTTTTTATTGAAACATAACTAAGATGAGCAATTTCATGTTTAATAACGATACATGTTGTCAAATTGTGTTTGACCTTCATAGTGCGAAATTCGAGAGTCATATGCATATTTTTTGTCAGTTGACGCAGTTTATTGGCAATGTGTGTGCTGAGACCCAACTGCAAATCTCATTTTGAAAGTCTCTTGTTGTTCAAAGTGAAATATTTTCTGGGCCTTTCACACGGTAGATTTTCAATCACAAGACATTTAAAGTTGTTGCATCTTGACATGAACCAAAAGGAGACCAATGCATAGTGAACCATGTATAGATTATTTATCGCATTCAGAGAAATATAGAATATTTCAGAAAATTTCCAGCCGATGCATTTCTAGTGAACATTTTGCTTGATTCAAAAGTGGATGCCTATGGCATCATTTCAAAATTATATATACCGTTCACGCTCAGTCGGTAGAGCGCTCGCTCCGTGATCAGGAGGTCGTGAGTTCGAATCTCGGTCGCGACTGACCTAAGTCGATAAAAAATGGGTAGCAACTGTTCCTTCGCCATGCGCTCGGCACTTTGAAGTGAAGGTTGCGGGTCCTTCGGATGAGACCTTAAAAACCGAGGTCCCGTGTCACAGCAAGCGTTGGCACGATAAAGATCCCTCACTGCTCAATGGCCCTGAGTGCCGAGTAAAGGTCAATATTTCAAGCCCTTCACCGGTATATGGTGACGTCTCTATATGAGTGAAAAATTTAGGAATGGAACGTAAAACAACATACAATCAATCAATCAATCAAAATTGTATAGTGATACATCGTCTGGATGGGATCTTGCACGGTGTTAATACATAAATCAGGAAAAAGTAGCTTTATATACATAAAATCTTATCTGTATCTTAGATTCTTTTACATTGTAAAACATACAATCTTGCTTTTTTTTAATTGTTATCCTCTGTTCTTCGACTTCCCCTTGATAGGAAAGAATGATTTTAATTATACAGGAATGCCAAGCAGGTGTTACAATTACTGATGCCTTTGGAAAGAGGACAATTAATCAGAAATCTTCCATGTGTTGTAGTTCTGATCTATGTAACATAGGACTGTGTGAGTATTTTCATTTAATTTTAAAGGAGGAATTCAAATTAAAAAAATATCATGTTGCTATTCATTTTTCTGATTGATAATATATGTAAATTTAAATGCCAGTCTACAAGCAATGTTGCATTACCTAAAAACCCTAGATTAAGACAAAGAACATCGCTCTTTTTTGACTCAGTTTGTACAATTTACTCATAGAAAATCTCCCGATCATGAGAAGGAGCACACGGCGGGTGTGACCGGTCGGCAGGGGATGTTTACTCCTCCTTGTCACCTGATCCCACCTCTGATATTTTAGAGGTCCGTGTTTGCTCTGCTCCTGATTTGTATTGTTTGAATAGAATTTTGAGCACGAATACCACTCGCTATCTCCATTTTTCACTGTTAATATTTCTTATAAAAGGAGATTTTATAAATAACATATATATACCGATTTTTCAAAAAATACACAAATGACAATATAAGTTATGTTCAATGTGTAAATTTCTCACTCAAGATAATTCTACAGATGAGTTATATGTTTCGTAAATTTACAAACTTCCATAATTTTGAGTAAAACTTGTTATTGAGAACTTAATATTTACCTTATGACACATACTGTGAAAACGCTTGTTTCGTGGAGGTTTAATTTTCGATGTTTTCGTGGTATAAAGTGACTTTGGAGTCAACGTACACGAAATGTTATTTTTTTCAAAATTAAAACACCTAAACAGTTCTTCAACAACGAAATCAAATCTCAATAAACCAATATTTTTCCTCAAAGCGAGAAAATTTGAGCCACGAAAATAAGTGATTTTACAGTATAACACACCAAAAAAAAACATGATCTAAGACATGTTTCAGCTTGTCCTCCGGGAAAATATGGTAGAACCTGCATGTCTAACTGCGGGCATTGTATAAATAGTACTTGTGATAGTCTGAGTGGCGCATGCCCAAATGGATGTTCAGCTGGATGGACAGGAAGCAACTGTACCCAACGTAAGACTTCTTATACACTTTTTATCCAACTATAAAAAATGAAATATTTTCTATTTTTACTTTTCAAATGTTGCCACCATTTTCATTTTAATCAAATTTATCGTATGCTAAATCGAGTTTATTTCTTTAAGCGAAGTGATAAATAATAATTGTTGTATTTGCTTAGTCTCAAGAACTTTTGCCAGTTTGGTGTATAAGTGATTTTTTACCTTTATTTTACAACCTGCAAAATTACATGTATATCTGTACTGCGCGTATGTAGGGCTTACGATGACGAACGTTTGAGGATAGTTTTAAAGGTAAGCCTTGACAAGCCTTCTTAAAAAAACGCTTTTGTGTGCAGACTTCTCTGCTTATGTTAGTAAGCAGTCATCCATATTGATTAAGCCTTAACAAGTATGCTTATAAGATAGCAGGCTTTTGTGTGCAGACTTCCCTGATTATATAATGCTCTGACATGTAGCAAGTAAGCGGTCATTATTTTTAATTACTGTCAGGGTGTGAGGACATCCTGCTCAACACTTTGCAAATGTACAGTCAATAACCTGCTTGTCCTTGCACAAGGACAGGTGTGTGGTCTACCCTGCTTGTTCCTTTAAGTGTTGAGTTGACTTCTTGCAAGCTACAAATACAACTATAAAACTGTGTTGCGGTCCCCACTTGAGCACAATCTTTCCCCCTTTATATTAGAGTGCGAGTACTGATTACAAAGACTACACTTTGTTCATAGTTGCAGCACTTAATGGCAATCCATTTCTATCGGGATTAAAAATCTGCAGGCGTTCACTGACAAATGTTTTGCACTTAACACCAAAGGAATTTTTGTCCTTTGATTAATATTTATCCCCTTCAATTTATTCGTCATTGTTTTGATTGCCAGTGCATAATTTTCGTAAATCTAATAACAGTGCAAGGTGAGCAAAGAAATAATACATTTTTATGTTAAACGATATTAAAATAGCTGTTTGGTCTTCAGCTAAGGATTCAAATATTAAAAAAATAGATTTCTTGATATATAATCATATTTTTCTTATTTTTCATTAAAAAATATTTATGGATAAAATATCTCCATAATAACTCTACGTTTGCAATGGATGAATTAAATAGAAATTTTGTATCTTTTTTAAGCTTGTTTAGCAGGAACGTTTGGAGACAAATGTAGTCTTCAATGTGGCCATTGCAGTGACGGTGGGGCCTGTGATTTTATCAACGGTACCTGTCCCAATGGTTGCTCTGCCGGATGGACTGGAGTTTTCTGCAAACAAAGTATGCTAAAAAACTTAAATCAAAATTAATAAATTTTAATTGCAAATTGATGAATAATCCGTCACAACGAAAAAAATGTATCCTTCACTTGTCCCCTTATCAGCTAACTTTTGCTTATACTGCATTATGTAATTTCAGAAATTGCTTTTCACTATGATCTACACTTGTCTGTATTGTCTAAAATAAGAATAACTCATCGTCAAAATATAGTTGAGCGGAAGTAGTTCCAAAGTCATTTTTAAATTTCTATTTCATTTGTGTTGTCCCTTTGTTCCACATGAAATTTTCCGGGAGAAAATACTTAGATAACTGTATGTTTGGTACAAAAAAGGTTTTCTTATCCTATGTGACTATACAAAATCGCCCTACTTTATCTTTTAACATATCATTTTTAACACGTTTTAATTTTTTTTTTCAAATTACCCTGTTTTAAAAACTTTATAATTTTTTTTGGTGTTGTGCAACACTCTGAAGAAAATTATTGCTTAGGTGGTTGTGCAGACGTTACTTGTGCAAACTTATGATATATATATCTTTATTCAATAATGCAAAGTGATTCGAAAAAAAATTAAAATATTATTTTTTAAGTTTAAAATATACAGTTTGGACCTGTTGAGAAAACATGAAAATTGTACACAATTGAAAGTCACTATTAAATGATAGATGTTGATTTCTCTTTCAAAAGAATGCACTTCCGGTAAATTTGGAGTGCATTGTAGTAGTGACTGTGGACATTGTAGAGATGGAATGACGTGTGATTTTACAAACGGGACATGTCCACATGGGTGTAGTCCAGGATGGACTAGGGATACATGCAGTACACGTACGACATGTTTAATCACAGATAATGAATTTCGATTTTTTTGAATACAGAATTATTATTAGATATATGAGACACATACTATAAAAACATATATTGGAAAAAGCATCTTGCCATTTTTTTTCAGCATGTCCCCATGGAACCTTTGGAGATGCCTGTAGTCAAAACTGTAGACATTGCATAAATGGGTCAACCTGTGACACGATTACTGGATTATGTTCTAGAGGATGTTCTGAGAACTGGACTGGAATGTTTTGTAATGAGAGTACGTAAGTTGTTAACTTGTTATGCATAATGTTGTTAATATTTTGTAGTTTTGTGTTCGATTGATTCGAGTCCTCTTGTTTTAAATGAATATTCGAGTCCGAATTCGCAAATTTCGTCACACACACATCGTAAAGTTAGCTTCAAAATTCAAATAAGTCTAAGAACTGGTTTTTAGCTCACCTGAGCTGAAAGCTCAAGTGAGCTTTTCTGATCACCTGTTTTCCGGCGTCCGTCCGTCTGTCTGTCTAGCTGTCTGTCTATCTGTCTGTCTGTCCGTCCGTCTGTAAACTTTTCACATTTTCAACTTCTTCTCAAGAACCATTGAGCCAATTTTAACCAAAGTTAGTACAGAGCATCCTTGGGTGAAGGGGAGTTTAAATTTTTAAAATGAAGGGCCAACCCCCCTTACAAGGGGAGATAATCAAGGAAAGATAAAAATTGGGTGGAGTCATTAAAAAATCTTATTCTCAAGAACCACAGGGCCAGAAAAGCTGAAAACTTATGTGGAAGCATCCTTGGGTAGTGCAGATTCTAAATTGTTCAAATCATGGCCCCTGGGGGTAGGGCGAGGCCACAATAGGGAATCAAAGTTTTACATTGAAATATATAGGCAAAATCTTTGAAAATCTTCTTCTCAAGAACTACTGGGCCAGAAAAGTTGAAACTTATGTGGAAGCATCCTTGGGTAGTGTAGATTCTAAATTGTTCAAATCATGGCCCCTGGGGGTAGGGCGGGGCCACAATAGGGAATCAAAGTTTTACATAGAAATATATAGGCAAAATCTTTGAAAATCTTCTTCTCAAGAACTACTGGGCCAGAAAAGTTGAAACTTATGTGGAAGCATCCTTGGGTAGTGTAGATTCTAAATTGTTCAAATCATGGCCCCTGGGGGTAGGGCGGGGCCACAATAGGGAATAAAAGTTTTACATTGAAATACATAGGCAAAATCTTTGAAAATCTTCTTCTCGAGAACCACTGAGCCAGAAAAGCTAAAACTTATGTGGAAGCATCCTTGGGCAGTGTAGATTCTAAATTGTTCAAAACATGGCCCCTTGGGGTAGGGCGGGACCACAATAGGGAATCAAAGTTTTACATTGAAATATATAGGCAAAATCTTTGAAAATCTTCTTCTCAAGAACTACTGGACCAGAAAAGTTGAAACTTATGTGGAAGCATCCTTGGGTAGTGTAGATTCTAAATTGTTCAAAACATGGCCCCTGAAGGTAGGGCGGGGCCACAATAGGGAATCAAAGTTTTACATTGAAATACATAGGCAAAATCTTTGAAAATCTTCTCAAGAACCACTGAGCCAGAAAAGTTGAAACTTATGTGGAAGCATCCTTGGGTAGTGTAGATTCTAAATTCTTCAATTCATGGCCCCTGGGGGTAGGGCGTATCCGCAATAAATATTACAAAGGGGAGGTCTTGTGAAGAACAGCAGGGCCAAAGTAGCTCAGGTGAGCGTTGTAGCCCATGGGCCTCTTGTTTAAGTTCTTAATATAGTAGCTGTATCTTGGTTTGATGAAATTTCTTTAAGTAAGGAACATCAGTATCAATATACTGAATATTTGGATCATATCATTTGCTTTCAAACAATTTTAAATGTTTTTGAAGCCTTTGCAATAGACTGTCTCGACATTCTGAACACTGGAAACAAACGAACGGGCATATATCAAATCCATCCGTGGAACAACTCTACGTCTAAAGAAGTAGTGTGTGATATGGACACCATGGGAGGCGGATGGACGGTGCGTTGAAATTTACAAATTATCAAAATTTATCTGTTTTGAGTTTTTTTTTTTTTAAATTAATTTATTTTTTCCTAACTCTAGTGCAGGAAATCAAGATGATAACTCGACATTTTAACATATTGAAACATACTTCTACCTTAATCACATTGGCGAATTATATGCAGTGGTAGGGATAGTTTCAACATTTCTTGTTACTAGAAGATAAACCGCTAAATGTTCTATTCAAACAGGCGATACTTATAATAGCGCTTAAATGTTTGAAGACGTTGTTAGCTTTTTCACTTGCTTTCAAACAATTCAACCTGCATCCAGTTTATGCATATATGCATTGTTAAATAATACTTTTATTTATTTGGGAAAGGGGGATTTATACTTGAATAAACCGTATAGACGTACGTCTAGAATATATAATAAATAAGATCAAATTCTTTAAAATATTAAGGATCATACATATAATATAGTGAAGAAATTCTGGTAATTTAGACACCCGAAATACATAAAAAAAATATTTTTCATTTTTTATATACATGTACAAACCTAATAAAACAATTCAACCAAATTTCAAAATATTGTGATACAGTTTATTCATCCTCACAAGAAAAAAATACGTTTCTGTTCTTTGCAGGTTTTTCAAAAGCGGATTGATGGATCTGTATCTTTCTCCAGGAACTGGACAGAATATCAGCATGGTTTTGGGAACACCTCAACTGAATATTGGTTAGGTAATTTTCAGATTCAGTTCTCTCTCATTCTCCTTTTTCTTACTCTCTATTTTTTCTCTTACATCTTCTAAACTTTTTTTTCAGGAAATGATGCAATACATGAATTAACTCGCAATTCGTCTTCTCTGTATGTCAAAATTCAAAACACAAATGGGCACCATTACTTCCGATATTACTCGGACTTCCGGATTAGTGGCGCTGACGATGACTTTAAATTACATCTGGGATCTTACTCCAATGGAACAGCAAGTAACAATATACTGATTCACACTTTTTTGTTACATATAAATCTTTTAGAGTCAAAGGTTTCTTAGGATTTCAAAAGCAAGAAAAAATGGAATATACATTTATCTTCAATTAAAGTTAATGCTTTCAATTTGCAACATCGAAACTGTCACTAAACCAAATTTGCTTCCTAAACATTCAAAAACGCTAGTTCATCACATTAATTTTGTGTGCAATGACTTAAGTAGAAGGAAGCTCTTTTCTACCCATGGGTGTAATAAATATTCATCATGTGTTTTACAGGTAATTGTCGAAAATATTCAACGTCCTTTCGATTCTTGATGAACGTACAGTTTAATTCTGACTTTGGTTCTTTCCTCCTTATTGTGCTCTGTTCTGTTTACTTATCATTTGTAATCTTTCAAGTATCTTTATAAACCAATGTATGTCGTGTGTGCTATGAACACATTGACGCAGAACTTGTTACTCTTTGTAATGACAAAAAGATACACATGAAGCAAAAGATATTAAATTTCACTGTAAAATATTCTCTAAATGAAGAAAAAGATATCAATTTTAAGCATAAGATGTCGACGATTCGTTTACTTCACAACATTTCTTGTTCCCCTAAATACATTTCTACGTTGATTATTGTTATATAAAATTTAGACATGATATGTAACATGAACAAGTTTTATATCTCTACTTCTATAAATTACCTTACAAAAAATACAATAACCTTAGAAACCCTTTGGATATAATGATACAAAAGTTTCTACTTTCAATTTCTATCCTTATCCTCTTTTCTGATTTCTGTATTTTACGTCTCTACATGAGTGAAAAATTCTCGAATGGGACATAAAACAACATACAATCAATCAATCTTTTTCGGTTGCAGGAGAGAGCTTGATTGCAAGCAACAATGATAAAACGTTCAAGACCCCGGATCATGCTTCCTCAATCTCAATGGCGTGTTTTGGATACACAAGAGGCGGGTGGTGGTTCGGATGTTGTCACTCCGCCTATTTAAATGGAGTTTATGGGTCAAGTAAATGGGTCAATCCTTGGTCCAGTGAAATACGATCTGGCACTAATTTCCGTTCATCCCAAATGATGACTAGAAGACACAAGTAATTCAATGCAGATTTTTCATAACAAATAAATTATTTAATGGTATTTTTATATCAGTCTTTAGGAAGTTTTTCTCTTTATTCATAAAAGATGCACTATGTGATTTATGATGCTTTACGAAAGGAACATGTGTGTTCAATATGAGTTTCTGTGTGCTTACCTTTGATATTGACAAGCGCTGAATAAAAACCTACATTTACACATGCCATGGTTCAATAAAAGTGGATACCAAAATTGTTTTATATGAAAAATACGAAGAGTAAAGTTAAAAAAGTAAATATTTTACCATTCAGAAAGCATCCCTACATAAAGTCGGTCTGAAGTTTGTCTGTCGCTTCCTAATATTCTCGACGCAATAATCGATAATAAAACGTGTTTGTTTAAATTATTTCAGTTTCTTGAAAGAAAGTTCATGTTTCTTCAAAAGGGATTATTCCTTAGAGAATAAATGGCGGCGCCTATTAAGTTACAATCAATCAGAAAAATAGACTTTTATGATGTCTTTCTTATTTATTATATTTATTACTTTGTTAAGATCATGTACTTCTATACGTGCTTGTACTAAATAGCTATGTTTATTAATCCCCTGTCTGTGAAACCGGAGGGGACCATAGGTTTCCTCCTTGTCTGTCCCTTTGTCAGTCTACCCCATTTCGTTTTCCACACTTGTTTATAAACGCTAGTAGATATTTAGTTGATTAATGGTATAAGAGTAAATCTTGATGAGATACAGATCAACTTTGCATTTTGATTCGCTTCTATGCCTTTTGACGGAATTAGGGCCCTTTTTTTAATTTTTATTGGGAACCAGTAGGGATTAAAGATATACACGCTATAACTTGCGTCAGTTAAAAATAAAATTGGAAATTTATTTATTTTGTGTACCAAATAAAGTTACGAAAATATTGTAAATTACACATTTGGAAATGAACGCATTATAAAGATCTCAAATTATAATTATTTATTATCCTACTAGGATAGTAAGGCATCTATTTAAATTCATGCATCATGTGACACCGTCGCTACTTTTAGATTGATAAACGAAAATGGCGTCAAGAAAACGAGGTAGGCCATTTGGTATTCAAAATAACTTATGACATGGATGGCATACGTTTTATGCTTAAAGACACTTATCTTTGAAAATAATTTGTATTAAACATCTACTCAGACAGATATTAACTTTTATTCAAAATCGTAGTCAAAATGCAACGAACCTCGTTGTCTATGATTTCCCGCGGACATGCGTGTCTATATACTGTTTACGCACTTCCTTCATCAATATTCATGAATAGGTGAATTCTTAATTGCAGATCTTGCTTAATTGTTTTGTAGTTACGAAGACTTATTTAGTAAAACTTTGTGGAAAGTAATTATTTTTTTTTACACATCATGTTTCTCAAATTATTTAATCATTTTGTTTCACATAATAAATCGCGTTTATATAGCGTGTATATCTTTAATATTGCTTATGTAATACTCTCAGAATGCTTGTTCAATTTATCTCATTAGGAGTAAGGGTTACGTTTATAGCTATATATAAACAAAAATCTTGCCACAGCCAGCTAAAGTTTCAGATGGAGCTACAAAAGAAATGAGGAATAAGAAAAAAAGTCTTCAAAATTCTTCAAAGTTTCTTGTACCTATCATAAAGCCAGTATTTAATATACATGCAAAAGCAAATACAGTTGAACCTCGGTATCTCGAACACTGATATCTCGAACACCATGGATATGTCGAAGTAATTTAAAAGTCTTCAACGATAATTCCTTAAGTATTTACCTCAGTCTCAAAGTATTTTCTTTCTCCTATCGAGTTCGAGATAATAAGGTCTTACTGTACTTGTTATGTGGATTCAAGATAAAGCCACAGCATCTGAGTTCAGGTAGAGTCACCATAGTACCTTTTTTTAGGTCTAAATCAGATGAGGCCAAAGTATCATCAGGTCTCCGGGGCCATAAATCTTACTTTTGATCCCTGTCTCACTTTTACCAGAGGAATTTATAGTGGAAAAGTGAGACTGATCAAAAGTGAGCTCGTCTAAGTTTTATGGCCTCCAAGCCTAGAACGTAAAATTAATTAACGTAACGTAAACACAGAAAGACAAATGGTATACGAGAGTTGTCCCAACATTCCATAGAAGAACCTAGTTTTGTAGGGAACCGGTGTCACAGATAAATGAATCGCCATAAAAGTAAACGATCAATATTTAAAATCGTATATAAACACCAAAACAACCCCCTTTCTATATGTAAATTCATATAAATCAATGTCAGATGTGACAGGCGGCGAGGCACCCAAATAGCAATTAAAAATTCAATTTCAATTTAAAATCTTATGGAACAGAACCGACTACTTAAAATTTCAGGAATAGAACTCAATATATCTTATATGATAACATAGACTTCATTGTGTGTGTTTTAGTCAATATAAGTTTTATTACTCTTTTTGTTAGCTAAAACCTATATGTTCATATCAAGAATAAGATTCTGGTAATTAGTGTATAGGAACTGAATCTAATTTTCGGACTGTTGGCATTTATATAGTTTGAGGTCGAAAATTGCTCCTGGTAGTAGGGATCGGTAACTTTAAGACGTGTTGGTTTAAAGAAGTCTTAATAAAACTTTGTGATTAATCAAAACAACAACTGGCTGTACACATTGAAAATTTTAAAAAGATACGTTACTGTCTCTAAAAGATATGAGCTCAGTATACAGAACTTTGGGCAACCCTCGCATGTCATTCGTTTCCACGTGAAATGCAATATAACATTGCTAGAGATGTTCCTCGTCTATTCATATTAATGACCTCAAATAGTGATATCATACAGTAGACAGTATACCAAAAATGATAAGAAATTCGTTAAAGATTAAGGACCAGTTGATTGTGGGGAGGTGAACGTATAATTTAGATTATCTTTGAGTGCGAAGACAATGAACCAGTTCTTCGATGGTTTGTGCTTTAAATAATAACATTCATTAATCATTTTTACTAATTTTATAATGCTTAATATACTAAATTCTAAACGAACATTCTTATAATACATGTGCCAATGTAGACTGGAAGGTAAATTCCTAGTTCTTGATTGTGAAGGTTTTACTGGAAATGCAGTTTAAGAACAACTCACAAGTCATTGTTTCACATACAAGTGAATTAAAATTTTCTAAGTGTTTAATGATCAAGATTATCTGTGACAATGGTGCATTATTTCATACAACATTGTCTCTTAGTGGCGGTAAGAAGCATCGATTATTATATAAAAATAATAAATTGTAGAATATTACTCTCTTTTTCTTTTGATTTTCAGCTTTCATCGTCCTTATTTATATCTATATTCAATGGTATACTGCAGGTAACAATTATATATCTCATCCAATATTAAATGTACATTATATGTACATTATATGTGTCAAAATTCTTTTACGAGAAATTGTTTGATTGCAAATGACTAGCTGAATGACTAACTCCTAATAAATCAAACACCTATCTGATTGTGTTTCAAAAATACTTAACATGAAAGATAGTGGAAAAACTTATCTCGCGGCCAGCTTATAGTTATCTGTTAATTTATAGGCCAGACCTCATTGAATTCTATCTGGTAGCACCACTCACTCATAAGGAACATAATAATTATTGTTGATGACCAACATTTAATCATATGGTGTCCACCAGATAATTAGGATATGTATCTCGTGACAGTCAGTTACATGATAAAGTCATATGGTAAAATAACATAACCCTATATTGTGAATTGAAGTAAATATGACATAAGCTTGCGCAAACCATGAGAGCCTAATTACAATGTATGTGAGAAATTTAAGAATCATTCTGAGGAAATCAATTGAATGTTTGTTGCTTAGAACGAATTATACTAATTTACTAAGACAGATTCTTTACAAAATGTAAATAATGAATTTATTCATAAGCAATTTTTTAAAATGTGTTCTTAAGATACCCAACATTTGTTTTAACTTATATTTGAAATATTTAATTACTCGTTTAAAGTCATCATTTCGTAAGTTCTGTGGTCGATACAATGACATTATCAGCAAATACAATTTAGCATTGAGTCAAATGCTGACTGACGTTTTTCATACTAATTGTTAGCTATAGGCCATTATTTACACACTGAATTGTCGACGGATTTTATTTTTCCGTTATTTCCCGATCATGACAAGGAGCACACGGCGGGTGTGACCAGTCGACAGGGGATGCTCACTCCTCCATGGCACCTGATCCCACCTCTGATGTTTTGGAGGTCCGTGTTTGCTCTGCTCCTATTTTGTAATGTTTAATGGACTTTTGAGCTTGAATGCTGTTCGTTATCTCCATATATTTCATACCTTTTAACCACATGCAATAATTATCTGATTTTCCTCTGCCCTTACGAGAACCTTTTTATATATTTCTATATAAGCATGTATTTTTGAAACCTGGTATTCACAAGACCATTTTGAAATTTTTCTACACAATAAAACCAACACAAATTTTTCCACGCCCAGTCAGCAAGACTCGGTACCCTGATCTTTACTATTTCTCTGTTCACGTAGTTGCATCTACATGAATAATGATTAAGCACACCTACACATATTTAATACCGTTAAAAATTGAGTCTTGCCATATGTAGTCATTCACAAGTAATGTTTCTTTTATTACCCAATTTTCAACTTCAAACACCATCGAGTACACAATATTTATGAAACATCAAAATAAAGAAAAAAGTACTAGAAATGTCATCAGTCTAAACTTTTTGTTGAAGTCACCTCAATTTCATCGTACATGTACATGTTCCACTAACGTCATGAAAGAAAAGTGATATTTTGTTTAAAAATTTTCTTCGACCATTTCTGCTTCAAAGATAATGATAGAGTGTAATTAGCTTTCCATATTATGTTGAAATTATTGCTGACAGGATTCATTCTTTGAGCACCGATCTAGGTTAAATTCACCTTTCTGCCACCAATGAAGCAAAGATATAAAATTGATTAGCAGCCACCATATGTATCTACTGTGGCATCTTTTGTCTTTCATGGATCATGAACTCATTAAACTTCGAATCCTCTTACTGTATACTTAATATAAATAAAAGGGATATTTTATTTGTAGATTATCTAAAGTATTTCGTGATCAAAAAAATGAAAAAATGCCACAACAAGATACTCCCTCTTTTTTGCAAGATTTTAAAATTTCCTTTATGCATATTTGACTGTTTTTTATGCTAAATATTTTTATATTGTAGAATCCTTACACTGTTTGTCCTGTACGGATATCATATCCCCCCTCCACTGTCATCTCATCAGAAAATGTCCTGCTGGAGATGTAAGAAGCGAAGTTACATTTTTAAAAAAAAACTAATTGCCTATTACTTTAAATTACCTATTCTTAAAATGAAAACCTTCTAAAAAATAAATTAATTTGACACTGCCCTCACATAATTTTATATTTTGCTTCTGAAAAAAAAAATGGGAATGCTGATAAATGAAACCCAAAACTGTGGTCGCAAAAGTCAATGATAACTATGTTTTCTTTTTTAGTTATTATATATTAAGGTTGGTGCCAACATTGAAAACGTTGTAGCTGTATTAATTTTTTTAGTAAATTATAAGCTTTTTTATTAGCTCGTCTTGCTCGTTAGTAAAAGAAAAGTTATCTTTTTTATTAGCTTGTCTGGGTAGAAATTTCATGCATGCATTTTTATTTCAAGTATATGGGTAGTTTATCCTTTGTTTACGTTTAACATTTTTGATAGGATAAACAAGAAGTAGTAAGATCTTGTTTGGGTAACTAGAAAATCTTTTCAAGAGTATTGTTTCAATTTAAATGACAATTTTTGAAACCTTTGAATTATGTGATGGTTACAGTAATTGGTTTCATTTATCTACATAATAATAATTTGTCAGGAAAAGAAAAATGACTTATCATCAAACATCGTGGTTTAAAAATTTCTTGTTTATATTTATTCCAATTAAATAGGTATGCTATGTAGAACAATTTAAGACAATCAATGGTGAACAACTTTACAATATGGGATGCTACACAGAAAGGGTGAATACATTTTTGATTTATTTTTTATGAAAAACTACTCCAAAATAAAATGTTCTGCATTTAGAAAGGGTAGAACTGCCATAATTTATTTCCAAACATATGTGACCTTTTATTTATTAGTTCAATTTGATTAAGATATATCGAACTAAAATGTGTGATGTATAGATATGTCATGGGCGTCAGATGGCAGCTAGAAGACGTCAGTTGTCTCATTTGACCGGTAGTGACAATCCCCAATGTGTACACTGCTGCAAATCCGACGCTTGTAATGTTCACGGATGCCGCTCTACAGGTATATTGAACTTGAAATATCATTAGAAAACAGTCGCCCGCGTGGCGCAGTGGTTAGAGCGTCTTCTCTAGAGTCGCGGCGTAAGGAGTTGATCCTTACGTCGCGGGTTCGAATCCCACTGTGGGACGTGGAGACCGGTCCTTCGGATGAGACCGTATAAACCGAGGTCCCGTGTCGCAGTAGGTGCTGGCACGAAAAAGATCCCTCATTGCTCACTGGCCGTAAGTGCCGAGTATAGGACAAAATTGCAGCTCTCCACCGGCAAGTGGTGGCGTCTCCATATGAGTGAAAAATTCTCGAGAGGGACGTTAAACAACATACAATCAATCAATCAATCATTAGAAAACAAAATTTATATGTTCCTAAAACATGCGTTTACTTATACTGGAAAATTGTACCTACATGTATACACATGTACTAGTAACTAAAAAGAAATACCATTTGAAACAATGTCAATGAAAATAAAAATGTTTTATGTAAAGTCGTTTTTGGGCTATCAAATACAGTTTTTATGCCCCCGTATCGAAGATTCGGGGGTATATAGATTTTGCCCTCTCCGTTCGTCTGTCTGTCCGTCTGTTTGTCCGCAAAAACTTCAACATTGTCCATAACTTTGGATTGGTTGAAGCTATGGCTTTCATACTTTACAAGTGTAATCCTTGTGAAAAGATCTTTCTTTGGATACCAACAACTTTGACCCTTTGACCTTGACCTAATAGTTTGAACTACATTTGAAAAACCTTAACCTTGGCAATAACTGAACGGTTGATGCTAAGGCTTTCATTTTTTCACATGTGTATTCCTTGTGACAAGACCTTCCTTTGTATAACAACTATAGTCCATTGACCTTGACCTTGGAGTGTGACCTACTTTTGGAAAACTTTAACTTTTGCCATTACTTTTGAGTAATTGGTGCTAGGGCTTTCATACTTCATATAAGTAATCATTGTGACAAGACATTCCGTTGGATATCAACAACTTTGACCCTTTACCCTTGGAGTTTGACCAACTTTTGAAAACTTTAACCTTGGCCATAACTTTCGAATAGTTGGTGCTAGGGCTTTCATATTTAACATGTGTATTCCTTGTGACAAGACCTTACTTTGGATACCAACAACTTTGACCCTTTGACCTTGGAATTGGACCTTCTTTTGAAAAACTTTAACCTTGGCCATAACTTTTGAACGGTTGTGCTAGGCCTTTCATATTTCACATGTGTATTTCTTATGAGAAGGCTTTTCCTTCGGTACCATTAATTTTGACGATTTGACCTGGACCTTGATATTTGACTTACTTTTGAAAAACTTTTACCTTTTCCATATCTATTCAAACCGCCGAAATATGGCTGAAATATTGCCGACTCGGCGTAAAACAACAATAATCAATAAATCATATCTATTCAATAGTTGCTACTAGGGCTTTCATATTTCACAAGTATATTCCTCGAGACAAGACCTTACTTTGGGTACCAACATATTTGATTTGCATTTGAGAAAGTTCATCCTTTGCTATAAGCTGCCATACTGGGGCATCAGTGTTTCACAAACACATCTTGTTTCTAAATTAGAAATAATTCATACTTCAACTGATATAGTCAAAAGACTAATGTGTAAATATTTGATTTCGCTCTAAGGGTTTCCTATTCAACGAGGACCTTTGTGTTTTAACTGCAAACAAAGCACCAATCCAGAACTTTGTCGTTATGTTAAGGTTTGCGAGTTTGACCAGGTACTAAAACTTCATTACATTTTAAATCACCTTGTTGACTGTAGATTATGATATCTAGATTTTCAATGGATTACAAAACAACGTTCCGCCTCAGTCCGCCTTTGCGCGTTGTCCATACAGCAGCAAATCATTGATGGTTTTAAAAATAGCTGAGTTTTTTAAAATCAATTTTGGTACTGAATATTTTTACTTTAGACAAAGATATTTTTATGGCCCAAATCAACTTTGGCATGATGTTGCCTTCCTTAAACTTTGTTATATCTAAAAGTATGTTGATATTTTTTATGATATACATGACGTAAAATCTCTAATTAATGATCATATGCAAACGATTGTAAACTTCAAAGAGAGTCTTCGTTTTGCAGAATTTACATGTAGTTAACCCTACAGTAAAAAAAATACACTAACTATAACTTTAAATGTCTAATCCCTTGAATTTCTTGATATCTGGTGAACAAAATGTTTAATGAACCCTGTACTTAGTTTTAGAAGCAAGTATTTTAAGAATAGATCAAAAGTTAAAAAGTATGCTTTTTCACACGTCAGCATATGTAAAAAATACAATGGCTGCAGAAATACATTCAGCATTGTCCCTCTACATAAAGCCTTTTTTAAAGCTTTCCTTTGAATGTCTCTTGTGAATATGTGTTGTATTATGTTTTGCACTAGGTCTGTCATCTACATGAAGAAGAGGAGTTTGGAGACAAGTTTTATGTGTCGTCCTGTTTACTTCAGAATGTAAGTGGAAGGCGTAATACTATATACTAATGCATATGCCTTAAAAACATCGAAATGGTGCTTATTATAATTATATATCCGGAGTTACTGAAGAAAGGTCGGGTATTTTGTTGCTAGCCTGGTCTGTCCGTCCGTCTGTCACACTTCCTTCTTCCTGAAATTCTTCTTGCAATTTAAGCAGTAACTATTCGTCTTTTGAAATATGATAGGTGGTGTCCTGTAGATGTGCAGTAAGGTCTCGGAGTTTCATTTTCATCCTGTCGGCAAATTTGAGTTAAAAAACTTTATTTTTCTACAAAAAATTCCCTTACAATTTTCACAATAGCCAAATCATCTTTTTCAAGATTATTAGTGGTGTTTTGTAGATATGCAATAAGGTTTCGGAATTTTCATTTTCATACTGGGAGTCAAAACAAGTTTTTTTCACAAACCGGGTTTCCAGAACTCCCCATTAATATTTTTCCAGTTTCCAAATAATCTTTCATTGTCATCCTTGGGGTCAAATAAGGTTTTGTTTTTTTTTTTCTATTTTAAAAAAAAACCTGGTCCGCAGAACTTTTCATACATTTTACATAGTAGCTCTCTCATTTTTAGCAAGATGATTGGGTTTGTTCTGTAGATTTGCAAAATAAAATCAGAATTTTAATTTTCACCGTAAGGCCGTATAAGGGCTTTATATGACTAAGGTGGGCTTCAGAGTCAGTAAATCTGTTTTAAGCATTTTTTTTTTTCGTATTTTCTATTTCTAGGAATGCGAAGCAGGTGTTACAATAACTGATGCTTTTGGAAAGAGAACAATTAATCAGAGATCGTCCATGTGCTGCAATTCAGATTTATGTAATATGGGGTTAGGTAAGTAGTTAAGAGTGTGATCAATTACTGCAAACACGTTGGAAATATATATATATATATATATATATATATATATATATATATATATATATATATATATATATATATATATATATATATATATATATATTGTGATTGAATTATACGGTTGGTATCTTACATCACACCTTTGGCACTGTCTTAGCTAAAACTGTATAATATTAAAACAGGTATTGTGGGATAAATTGTGCTCGGTAATGACTGCATAATTCTCCAAATCTATTTGTCAAAGTATTTTTCGAATGAGAATATGTTTGGATTCAAACAAACACTTTATTAAAGACATGTACGATTCTTCATATTGACACTGCGTACGTCTCTGAAGTCGGATCAATAAACATAACTAAAAATAAAACTAATTTGGTGTTACAGCTTGTCCTCCTGGAAAGTATGGCAGAAACTGTATATCTAATTGTGGACATTGTTTAAATAGTACTTGTGATAGTTTGAGTGGCGCATGCACTGATGGATGCTCTGCTGGATGGACAGGAAGCAATTGTACTCAGCGTGAGTTTTGTAGAACAAGTTCTTACCATCTTGGACTTGAGCCCGATTATCAGGCGAAGGATGAAATAAAGCCTGGAAATCAGGCTCAGTTTTGTTCTACAGATACAGATTCCTTTTTATATGACATAAAATCTGAAAATATTTATAAAGAGATATCTGTTGACAAGGAATTATTTGATTTTTATGCCCCCGTATCGAAGATTCGGGGGTATATAGTTTTTGCCCTGTCCGTCCGTCTGTCTGTCTGTCTGTCTGTCTGTTTATCTGTTTGTCTGTTTGTCCGCAAAAACTTTAACATTGCCTATAACTTTTGATTTGTTGAAGCAATGGCTTTCATATTTCACATGTGTATTCCGTATTACAAGACTTTTCTTTGGGTACCACCATATTTGACCTTTTGACCTTGACCTTGGAGTTTGACCTAGTTTCACAAAATTTTACCCAACTTTAACCTTGGCCATAACTTTTGAACAGTTGGAGCTAGGGCTTTCATACTTCACATGTGTAATCCTTGTGACAAGACCTTTCTTTGGATACCAACAACTTTGACCTTGACCTTGGAGTTTGACCTACTTTTGAAAAACCTTAACATTTGCCATAACTTTTGAACGGTAGGTGCTAAGGCTTTCATACTTCACATATGTTATCCTTGTGACAAGTCCTTCCTTTGGATACCAACAACTTTGACCCTTTGACCTTGGAGTTTGACCTACTTTTGAAAAACTTTAATCTAGGCAATAACTTGTGAACCGTTGGAGCTAGGGCTTTCATACTTCACATATATGTAATCCTTATGCCAAGACCTTCCTTTGGATATCAACCACTTTGACCCTTTGACCTTGGAGTTTGACCTACTTTTGGAAAACTTTAACCTTGGCCATAACTTGTGAACTGTTGGTGCTAGGGATTTCATACTTCACATATTTAATCCTTGTGACAAGACCTTCCTTTGGATACCAACAATTGTAATCCATTGACTTTGACCTTGGAGTTTGACCTACTTTTGGAAAACGTAAACCTTGGTCATAAGTTTTGAACGATTGGTGCTTCAGCTTTCATATTTCACTAGTATATTTCTTGTGAGAAGGCCTTTCCTTAGGCACCATTATTTTTTACCATTTGACCTTGACCTTGATGTTTGACTTACTTTTGAAAAACTTTCACTTTTTCCATATCTATTCAATGGTTGCTACTAGGGCTCTCATATTTCACAGGTATATTCCTCGAGACAAGACCTTACTTTGGGTACCAACATATTTGATTTGCATTTGAGAAAGTTTAACCTTTGCTATAAGTTGCCATAGGCATCAGTGTTTCACAAACACATCTTGTTCGAATTATTTAAGCACTCATGAACTGTTGAATGCATGCTTTATTAACTACAGAAAATGTAACAGTGTAAGCTGATAAGAGATTTGTGTCAATTCCATGTTTCCAGTAGCTCATTTATTTAGGACGTTGACTTAGTAATTTCTCAAAATAGAAGGTTAGTTCCAAGCAGAACTTTTTATTGACTGCTTTTTTTTAATTTCTTAATGCTAAATGTTTATTACATGTATATGTACTTGATACTTTCCATATATCATAATTACATGTATTATGCAAATTTACTCAAAATGAAAAAAAAACAACATTAATTGGTACACATATTTAATGATATATGTGAAACGTCGTTATACTAAGACATCATATGGCTACGGACCAAAATATATCATATTTCTTAAAATTTTATAGATGAAATACTTTTATGGGGATTTTTTTTTTTCAAGAGTGTACTTCCGGTAAATTTGGAGAGAGATGTGGTAGTAACTGTGGATTTTGTAGAGATGGAATGGCGTGTGATTTTGTGAATGGAACATGTCCTCATGGTTGTATTAAAGGATGGACTGGGATTACATGCAGTGCATGTACGACTTTTATTGATGTTTAAATAGCTGTCATGGATTTTAAATTTTACATTTATAATTTGAAATAAATAACGTTAAAGAAATTAAAGTTTATTTCCATTTTTAGAAGGAAAAAAAGTAGCATAATACCGGTATTACATTGCAGTATGTCCTCAAGGAACCTTTGGAGGAGAAGACGGTTGTCAAAATTGTGGTTATTGCAAAAATGGAACAACGTGTAGCATTGTTAGTGGAATGTGTCCTAGTGGATGTTCGGAAAACTGGACAGGACGGTTCTGTAACGAATGTACGTAAGTCGTCATGCTACGAAATGGTAAAAGCTCATAATTGTGACAGTTTCGATTTCGAGCGGGTTACTTCTGCAAATTTGGATATAAAGTTATTCCATATTACGTTAATATTTAAATGTAAGAATTCCTAAAGCTTAGCACATAAAAGATTTTTTTCCTCCAGATTTCCTTTCATTCTGCCTTGTTATTTTACATTTGACTTTATTTCTTGAGCCTCTATATATTAAGCATTTTCATTGCCTCGGCTCAATTAATTCCGGTTTTCAAATTTCACTTGTTTTGGCATATCTTACATGCCATTGTGGAAAAAATGCCACGAAAAAAGAAAACTATAGCATGCATTTGTAATTCTAGAAAAAAAAAATCGCTAAAAGATATATCATAAGTTGCAAATGCTTAAAACACAAAGGCAATTTGAGATATTCAGCACACCTACACGTCGTCCATTTGAGCGCAAACATGAAGAAGTCAGAGTTACTTTCCTTTTTACTGCATTTTATAACATATTTACCATAAAGGGTATGGAGGTCCGTTAAATGTTTTAAGTGTGAAAACGCGTGATTTTGCATATTCCGTTTATTTCAATGAAAACTCTGTACTAGAGGATATAAAGGATAAAGGATAGAAAACCAGTCTTTGCCATTTTTGTATGTCTTGAAGATGCAATTAATCAAAATAACATTAAAGTTAAGACTAAAAAATGTCATCTCCAGTGAAGTCGAATGATACTTTTCTTGAGCTAATAAAGCTAATAATAAACCATGCATATTTGCTAAAGGAAAGTTTTACAATACAAATCATTAATCTATCATTCACGATGACTTATCAATTTTTTTACTGGTTCAGGAAAAGATATTGATTAAGGTTTGAAACTTCATTTGAAAATAAAGTGCTTTTGTCACGTGATAAAATCATGTGAAGCTCAAAGATAATTAAAATGAGAGAGAGATTTCATAGTAACATTTCCTTGCAGAATATTCAACTTTTTTAGCCCATTTTTCCATGGACTGTCTGGACATTCTGAATTCGGGAAACAAAAGAACGGACATCTATAAGATTTATCCATGGAACAACTCCACATATAAAGAAGTACTGTGTGACATGGACACTATGGGCGGCGGGTGGACAGTATGTAAAACAACAAATTTTCAACATTTTCTGTACCTTATTAATTCCCTATTGGTATCTTTGATATTGATACTTTTTCGAATATTTATTCATTAACTTTTACCGTAATTGATATATTTTTACCATATATACTTTACCTAAATACAGAAATTACTTTCATGTCTAAACCAACTTACCCTTTTATACTTAATCTCCATGTGAGCATCTCTTTTTTTATCAAATATTAAAATATTAATTGAGCAACAGCGAAACACAGTCTTTAGAAACACATTTCGCTCGTAATATTTTAAACTGTATTAGTTATAAA